AAGTGATTCTATTTCTTACCAAAACTCAAGCTCTTCATCTGAGTGGCGAAAGCTCTTTGATGTAACTAAAAGGTTATGTTGTTAGAAGCCTATCAGAAAAAAGAAGCGTTTAACTGTCAAAGACTTTGAATCTTTATAATCTGTGCGACGTAATTGAAGCAGCTTCTTTCCTGTTTAAGACGACACCCATAAGAGAGTACATTCGCTGTAATTGGTAGTTTTCGCAACCCAAGCATTAAAAGTACACAGTGCGTGTCACAAGTACATGTGAACGTTTTTCAGAAGTTAAAAGCAAGTTTAGGTTCATTTCAGCCAAAAACTCTTCAAGGTAACTAACTAATTGAAGGAAGTTAGCCCAGTCACTAATTCCGTCCTTCTCTCGAATTCTTTCTATTCATAAATTATGATTGAGCTGTTAACGTTGCGCTAGCTGCAACGGGCTATTGTACTCTCTGATCATTTTTCTTGCGTCGACATAACACCACCTCAAATCAAGTTGAAGTTGAAAGGGACGTCGAATTACCAAAACAGTAAATAAAATACTAGTTGCCATACTCTCGACTGTAACATTCATCTTCCTGGAAGCAGATGTATGGAAGATCGTGCATTTGTTTGTCGTTGTCGATCAGATAATGATTGCTTATCAGCTACGTTATTGACGTGCTCGCCGTCATCTAAGATGTCTACTGAAGCATGAGCGTAAGCGTTTGCGTATTTACACTCGCGGTATTCGATTATCAAAAGTTATGTACTCGCTAGTGTTCCAGAATTCGTTTTCTACTCATTAATGCATTGAGGATGCGTCAGCAACTTGACGAATCGTGAACATAATCTGCGACTTTGTGCTGTTGCTCGTTATTTACAATTGCTTAGCTGATGTTACTTTCGGTATAAGTATACTGCTCAATGAGTGTTTATTGAATTGCATTTCTATACATCGAGCTCACGTTGTAGTTCACATAATCGTCGTAAAACTCAAAACTATGAGATGGATCAGTCCTTGTTGTTTTTCATCTGCTCACTCATCACATTCAGCGTATCCTGTTGTGTGTGTGACTCTCCAGAAATGTTCGTCAATGTCCACGCTCTCGTACGACTTGCTGGATGACGGACGCACGAAGACACTGACTGGGCACACAGCCTTATCGCGTTTGCTTAGGCAAGGCGGAATAACCATATTGGCTGGAATCTCAGCAAGTTTCTTCTTGGTCTCCTGCCTCAGTTCTATAGGGGAGCCTGATATAGCTTCATTGTGGAATCAATTCCAGCCTCTCTCCTTCCTTTGCTAGGCGTTTCAAATTAATCTCCTAAGTTCGATCAATTAGTATAATCAACCAAAACTGGACATCTTTTGCTGAATTCTATTTTGAGCCACAAGCAAAAACACACACATTGCTAACACAACCGCTTATTTACCGGAATCTCAAGCAATTTATGCGTCTTTCATTCAACTATAAACAAGTTACGCAAACATTCTAAGAACTTCTATCAATAATGATAGTGATTAATTCAATAAAGTTGCCCATACTATCTTTTTGATGTTTCATTTTAT